GGGGGGTATGGGGGCAGGGGCTGTAGCCGGGCGGGCGAGCAGCCCCGCAGAGCTGCTGGCTCTTTAAGAAATCTCGTGTGCTAAATTTATCTCTCTGCTGTCTGTGAAGACTGTTTGTAGGAGATGAAGCCTTGAGGAGAGCCTTTGCCACTGCCTGCCGTGCTATAAATAGATCCAAAGAGACGGAGGGAATTTATATATATCCTCACTGGGTCTAGATACAACATTGCAACTGCCCTCTCTCCGAGCAGGGGGCCCGAGTGAGCTCTTAACCCTTTTATCCGTGATGCGGTTGGGGTGGAGGACAAAGCTGGGAGGGGGAGAAGGATGGCAGGACAGGAGCCACTTAAAAATTACCACCAGGGCGTTGGGATTGCGCGCGTGGCTTTTACAGCCTCCCAGTTTGGCACCTCTGGGAGGGATGCCATTGCCTCTCTCCTACCCTGGTCCAGGGTGGCTGGGCATGGGGGGAGACACCACGGTGGAGGAGCAGATCCCAAAGCACACCTTGGGGCTGAGATGCACCTTGCCAGGAAAGCCCAAGAGCGGCAGGTGCAGAGTCCATCCCAGCCAGGGACTGAGACCAAAGAGTCACGAACGGGTATGAGTCATCCCCCTCTGCCGCACACGGCATATACTGTATATATTATACTGCACCCGTGGGAAATAGCAGTTACAAATGCGTTTTCCTGTTTTCCCTAAAGTGCGAGATGCAAAAAAATGTATTAAATGAAAATTTTCCACCCCATTTGTGGGACCCTGGGGGGCTAAAACCTTTCCACGGCGTCCATCCCAAAATTGCAGCCTGACTGGCTAATTTGGCCACACAAAGGACACCCAGGGGAAGCCTTTTCTGGTTCGAGAGGGACCCTTCTCGCCTCTCGACAGGATTTGCTTATCACCTGCAGTGCTGGTTGGAAATGCAGAGCACGACACAGTGAGCTATGGCTACCACGCTCCATGCGCCAAATCCCGCTCACGCTAACAGCCAGCATAAATCCAGAGCCACTCCAATGATTTTTGCAAGATCACACCAATTTATATCAGCAGAGATTTACATCAGGGCAGAATTTAGCCCAGTTGATTCAAAAAAGAAGAAAACCTCAGGACAGGTAGGACAGAAAGGAGAAAAAGAAGATTAAGAGGGAATCTGTCCTCAAAAGCCAGGTAATTTCTCTTTCCTTCCAGTTTAAGGGCAGGTGTATCCACACCATGTAGCTCAGCATCCTCCAGAGAGAGCCCGGTTGGCTGAAGGTCCCAAACTGCTGGTGATCTGCCCATGTAACACTGCTCGGGCAGGTGAGAATTGGGACCATGTAGGGAGAAGGTTTTATTCTGTTTGCAGAGCAGAGGTAGCAAAGCCACAGGTGGCTCTCCGGGGCTGTAGCCACCTGCTCCTCTGCAGCATTTCAGCTGCGGCGCTCTACCCATGGAGAGGTGCCCCTGGCAAGCCCACAGACACCATCACCAGCAAACTACCTGCATGTGAGGCTCCTGCAGCATGACAAGATGTGAGGGGCAGCTGGCCTGGGGCACCAGGTTGAGCTCATGTCCTGCCTCCAGGCTTCCTAAACCCTGATAAACCAGCCCTATATGGGATAAAGCGAGTGGTACTCCAGAGAGGAAAAGGGTAATTCTTTCAATTTCAGATCTCAAAAGGCATCCTGGACACCAGCTTCTCATTGCCATACACTGCTTGAAGTCCATGCTTGACCCACAGCATCACAACCTGGTCATTGCCTTCCACAGCACCTGCCACTGTTGGTGAAATGTCCACCTACGGCTTCTGTGACTGACTCAACATTCGCTTGCTCCTAGAGAGACCAACAAGAGATTTCTCTAGCTCCTTTGGTGTGTTACGGGCAGGTGGGACTCAGAAAGGAATGAGAGGCTCCACTCACCTCTCGCAGCCAAAGGGGAATGGGAGCAAAACTCAGGCACCCCAGCGACCTTGTGTGGTCACAGCACAAACCATCTTTGGTCCAGAAGGCCACAGGATCAATTTTTGCCTCATGCTTTGATGGGTATAAACGCATTGCCTTGATATGCTCTGAGCAGTTGTGTGAAGAGATGTGTTTGTTTGACACATAGAAGACATCAGGGGAGGACAGGACGGAGAGATAGATGGGGGGAATTGACACTACGGAGCTCCTGGGTGTCTCAGGAGGGTTAACAGGCAGTAGAGGTGGAAAGAAAAGTAAGAGGTGGAAAAATGAGGAGAGGATCAAAGAGTGATGACGGCATGAACGCTGATGGGGGAGGCAGGAGTGAGAATGAGAGACAGGAGAGCAGATAGGGCAGGACAGGAGGCCACCAGGGTAAGGGTACAGCAGAGAGGGATCAGGGGAAGCAAGGGGCAAAGCAAGCTTGGGGAAGGAGAGCTGGAGAAGAATGGGAGGTTAAAAGGCAGAAAGCAGAGGAGGAGCGGGTACTCACTCCGTGAGAAAAGAGATGAGGAGACAGAGAACAAACCATTGCTCTGTAAACAGCTCTAGACAGAGCGCGCTGCCTCCAGGAGACGCGACCAAAGTGAAAGGGAGCAGGGAGCGCGGGGGCCGGGGGGAACGCCGGAGAAGGATGCCACCTTCCCCGTGGCGTTAGCAAGAGGGGCTGGCACCCGGCCAGGCTGCGTCTTCTCCCTCCCCCTCCTCCCCTCCCGCTTCTCCTACCCACCTCCCTTCCCCTTTTAAATTCAAAGATTTGTGTGTGGTGTGAAATTTCATCTGCTTTGACGGCGATTCACAGAGACACTGCCCATCGGAGGGGAGAGGCTCGCCTGCGCTTTGCGCGATGCGCTCAATGAAGCGGTCCCGCTCCCTCCCAACAACCACCACCACCACCCTCCATCTCCATCTCCCATTCCCCTTCTCTGTCTCAATCTCTGCCCACTTGGTGGGCCTCCAGGTCAGCCCCCTCACGTGTCACCACCTTTACACCTCCATCCCCATGGAAAAGACATCCGTGCCCTTGCCCTAATCGTTTCTCCTGAGGTCTGCAGGCAGCCGGGCTATCAAGCAGCCAAGTTCCTCGCTGCCCTGCCACTCCACTGCACAGCTGGCAGGCGGGCACAGTTCATCTGGGGGGAGACAGGGCTGGGGAGAAACCACTGTACATCTCAAAAAAAACAAAAAAGGAAAAAAAAGGACATGCATTCAGATGTCAAGCAGCTCTGGCAGGCTGTGGGCTGATGGACATCCCCCTTCTCTGCCAGCACCCAGTGGATCCAAGCAGAACCCCAAGTAGCATGGACACCTCACTCCGAAGAGCATCCTTCAACCCCAGAGGAGGTAGAGACCATCTCTAGAAAAGCAGCCATGAATCTTGAAGTCACACAGGGTGAGTTCTGCATCTCTATTTGTTACAATGAGGAAAGCTCTGACCACCTGAAGCTTGTCTTGACAAAGCAGATGCTGGCACAGAAAGGGTAACACAACCTCACCCTGTGTCCCTCCACCACTGCCTGCTCTGCAAGCTGAGCCCAGCAGCAGCAGAGGACTGTCCCACCACAGCCACAGCTCAAAGGGGAGTGCTCAAGTTTCTGCAAACCATCAGTCCTCCACAAATATTTCAGTTCTCTGACATGAGCACCACCAGCCATTTCATTCCCTCTCTGATCCTCCTTCATTGCTGTTTACTTATTAATGGCTTCTTCTGTCTTATTTAGAATGATTATATAAGTTCACAGACACAGAGCAGCATAGAGCTCTGACCTGCTATT